TGTCTATATTCTAGCTTTATTTAGGTCTTTTTTGAATATCTTTCTTCTATATTTTGTTGATTTTTGTAATTTTGGGTAATCGTCAGAAAGAGTTTTAATATTTGTTCAATTTCTCTATATATTTTTATAGTAATATATTTATATATATTTTAATAAATATATAGTAATTTATTTGATAATATATAATAAATTTATAGTAAATTAATTAAATAATATTTTATAGTAATATATTTATATATATTCAAATAAATATATATTAAATGGTGTGGCGACTTAGTGAAGTGGTTAAGTTGTCGCACCCCCAAGTGGCATGTTGGCAGGTGGGGGTTCGAAACCTACCGACGGCGAAATTTTGAATATTCTGTTTGTACAATGGCTACTGTCTTTTGACGATTGGTTAGAACAGGATCTCTATAACCTTGGTGGCACCAACAAAATTGGGAGATCATGGGGCATTCATGCAACGTATAAGTTACATGAAGGCATGCAAGCTGGTATTAGTCAGTGCAAACCCAAGATAAGACCTCGAGTTCGTATAAACCCAGGAAAACGGAAAGATGGATGCCCGCTTGGCAAAACCTGAGTAGAAAGGTAGTACAAACCTTCGATGGTGGCTACTGGATAGGCTTCACCCAAGGCTGGCATAACTGGACGAGGACCGGGTATTTGGAGGGAAGATACTCCACCAACTAGGCTGCCGGAATCGCCGGAGGAAAAGGATCTGCAGTGCAGATACCAAGAGACAGGTGTCCCATCCGGGCCATTTGAATTGGTAGTCTAAGGAGACCGGCTAGGGGTACTGAAAGGGAAGGTATCGGGTTGACTTGAAGGGGAGAAACCGGGGTTTGGGTGAACTCTACAAGGGCAGACTAGGTAATGGTAGCAGCTTCGGCTTGCAAGTGCTTGGCCTCGGCCTAGGCATAAGTTACCAAAGTAGACTAGATAATACGGTAATAGTGGGTACCGGACTACTCTAGCAAGTGATGCACTTGAGGATGAATTGGTTAAAAAGCCGGTAGTCCTATAGATAGTCTGCGACAATCCTGGAACTTAGACTGACTAATGTATCGCATGTTCCGGGTGAGATTAGATGGATTGGCATAGGAAACTCGGATCAGAGGGTTTAATTAGATAATCCAAATAATAGTAGATTCTAGGTACGGCATCTAGCATAGTACTCAGTATAACTATTTAATTAGGCGCTCAAAAGGCGTAGATATGGCTAGAATGTATCCTCGTCAGAATGTACTTGTCAGGAGCCCCCTTGAAAGGGCACCACATGATTCTATAATCTAATAAAAGTGATGAGCCAAAAAGGTTAACCTTGATTACAAAAAAAAATATATATATATATATTAAATATTTAGTAAATTTATTAGATAATATATAGAAGAAAATTTCTTAGCGTACATGATGTGTATTATACATAGATATTAATTTGCAAATCTGTGTAATGTGTAAATCAAAACAATTTGTATAAAACGAAAAATTAAATCATACTTCAAGTTAGGGTAAGGGTGCATTTAGGATTGAGGCGGATTATAGTCTATACTAAAATTTCACAAGGAATTTTTTTTGTTAGAATCCAAAAGGTGGTTTTATAAGCGAAATTTTTAGATAGAGTAATATTTTAGAGAAAGCAATAATTTTACGTTACACCTGATCGTGCAATCTGATTGGCTTTCTATATACCCGTGTACAAACATCCTGTGTATAAATAAAAATTGCCTATATAGAAAATATATAAAAATAAGTAATAATTTGTATTAAATATTAACTATATATTACTATATGACTATAAATATTTTAAAATCATTACTTAGTTATCTATTAATATATTAAAAAAATTGGATTTCTGCAAGGTAGACGGACATTGCATATTCGTGTTACATAGCTGCATATTTTGCCTTATTTAGCACATGTTCGTATAATGACTCCCTATTTTAATCACATGTTTGTATAACGATTTCCCACGTGCGTTATTCATATTTCGTGTAATGTATTCATGTGTTAATTTGTCTGTTAATATATATAATACATACGTATTTTATTTTTTTAGCTGCAACCGTGACTTGAATTTTTATATTTGTTATTATGGATAACGTTAGTGAGACCTCTATTGAACAAAGACGTAGATTGAAAAGAGAATCTGCTGCTCGACAAAGAGCTAACCAATCTTCAGAGCAAAATGAACGCCGTAAAAGGCAATGTAGAGAATCAAAGGGTCGAAAAATTACGCATGACGCACCTGCTGAACTTACTCAAAGTTCTCAAATACTGTCCCATGATTGTATTCCAGTTGTATCCCCTACTAACGCTACTAACCTTTTTATGCCCCCTAACCCTAACGTACCCTTCTTAGGACCTTCCCATCATGAAGATGCTCTTCCGGATAATTCTCAAACTGTCGATTTTCATGTTTCTCCTGTTATTACAGTACCAAGTGTTTCAATTCCAAAAGCACGTGTGTATCCTTTTAATTCAAGTAGGCTACAACGATATACTCTTGGAAAAATGAATATTTCATGTATTTCTTGTGGTGCCTTAAAATGGGTAAACGAAAGAGTTGCAGGTTCGACTAAACGTTCACCTGTATTTGCGACCTGTTGTGCTAGAGGAAAAGTTTTGCTACCATGTCTTCAGGAATCTCCAGCTGAATTAAAATCTTACTTAACGAGTGATGATGAGTTTTCACAAGAATTTCGCCAAAATATCCGTGCTTATAATTCAACTTTAGCTTTTACTTCTATGGGAGCTAAAATTGACCATCGTATAACTGGCACAAGAGGTCCTTATACTTTTCGTATACATGGTGAAATGTATCATAGAATTGGGTCTCTTCTTCCTCAACCAACTACTGAACCTCCTTTATTTGCGCAACTCTATATTTTTGATACTAATAACGAGGTTCAAAATAGGCTTAATACTATGCCTTCTTTAAATCGGGTAACTCTGGCTGCTCTTCAAAATATGCTTCATGATACTAACCCATATGTACAAGTTTTTCAGCAAACAGGTAGATTGTTACGACAGAATCTATCTCAACAGTTGAAAATGGTAATTACAGATTCGAGAACAACTGATTCAAGACGTTATAACATTCCAAGCGCTTCTGAAGTTGCTGCTATTATAGTAGATGATAATAATAATACATCTACTATATGCAATCGTGATATTATTTTACATTCCCATGATGGAGGTCTACAGCGTATATCTGAGCTTCATAGAGCATATGCACCGTTACATTACGTTCTTCTTTTTCCAAGAGGGGAAGATGGATGGCATCCGAAAATTCCAATCCGTGAAGAAGCACAATTATCTTTTCTTGAAGTTGAACAACAACATGATATTGATGATGCTATCGATGCAGACGATAGCGTTAAACATCAAAAACATGTTACTATGATGCAATATTACGCATATCGACTGCAAGTAGGTAGACCTGGAGAAGGAATGAATCTTCATCTATTTGGACGTCTTTTCCAACAATATATTGTTGATGCATATGCAAATGTGGAACAAAATCGGCTTAACTATTTAAAGTGCAATCAAAAAAAGATTCGTGCAGACCTTTATAGTAGCCTTCATGATGCATTAAGTACACAAGATGAAGTACCTCAGGATTTAAATGTCGCTAATATTGGCAGGCGAATTATTCTTCCATCGAGTTTTACTGCTGGGCCACGACAAATGCAGCAGCTATATCAGGATGCGATGGCTATTGTACGAGAGATGGGTAAACCTGATCTTTTCATTACATTTACCTGCAATCCAGCTTGGCCCGAAATTACTTCAGAACTTCTTAATAATCAGGTAGCCTCCGATCGCCCTGATCTTACGGCTAGAGTCTTCAATATGAAATTGAAAGCTCTAATGGATGATATTCTCAAAAATCATATTTTCGGAATAGTTGTGGGTTATGTTTATGTCATTGAATTTCAAAAGCGTGGCCTTCCTCACGCTCATATCCTTTTAATTCTTAATCAAAGTAGCAAGCCAAGAACTATTGAAGATTATGATGCTATCGTATCCGCTGAAATCCCTGATAAAAATCTTCATCCTTTGGCATATGATACTGTTTGCCGATCGATGATGCATGGTCCATGTGGTTCTGCTTATCCAAATGCACCATGTATGAGAGAAGGGAAATGTTCGAAACGATATCCACGCACCTTTTGTACCACTACATCTGTAAATGAAGATGGTTATCCTATCTACCGCCGCTCTCATGATGGCCGTTCTGTCGAGATTAGAGATGCACTGTTAGATAACCGCTGGGTGGTACCACATAATCTTTATCTTGCTACAAAATATGATGGACATATTAATGTTGAAATATGTTCTTCCATAGCCGCTGTTAAATATCTTTTTAAATATGTTTATAAGGGCCATGATCGAGCAACAGTTGAAATAGGAAGACAAACTAAAGTAAGACCAACAAATGAAATTAATGAAATTAGCCTTTATTTAGATGCTCGCTACATTTCTGCCTCAGAAGCCGCATGGCGACTATTCCATTATAAACTACATAATGAGAAACCTGATATTATGAGGCTTCATGTTCATCTCCCCGGCCAACACACTGTATATTATCGAGATGATGAAACTTTAGTGGAGATACTTGAGCGTGAAAACACTTCTGAGACTACTTTAACTGCATGGTTTAAAGCAAATGCACGGTTTCCAGCTGCACGTGAATTAACATATGGTAATTTTCCTACTCAATGGGTTTATCATAGAGACCACAAGGAATGAAAACCTAGACAACGAGGAAATAGTATTGGTCGGATGTATTTTGTACATCCAAAAGCTGGAGAACGTTACTATCTTCGGATCATACTAAACGTAGTGCGTGGTGCAACATCCTTCGATCATCTTAGAACTGTCAATAATGTTCTTTATCCTACTTTTAAGGACACCTGTGAAGCTTTAGGTTTACTTCAAGACGATAAAGAATGGGACGATTGTTTAAATGAAGCTCAACAAATACAATCTGGATCACAAATGCGGTATTTGTTTGCTACAATTCTTATGTTTTGTTATCCCACTCACCCGGAATTACTTTGGCAAAAATACATCACATCTTTTAGTGATGATATACTTTACCAAACCCGTTTAGAAGCAGAAAGCAACCCTTCCTATACTTTTACCGAATCTGATATACACAATATAGCATTAACAAGATTAGAAGCTATTTTGATCAGAAATGGATTCCATCTTACCGATTTTCCAAACATGCCTTTACCGCTTCAATTATTTAACAATCATATTCAGCAAAATTATTTACTCGCAAAAGAGTTGCAATATGATCGTGATTTTCTTAAAGTTAGAGCTCAGGATACCTATTCACGTTTAAACTCAGAACAGCGCTCCATTTTTGATGCAGTAATTACAGCTGTAGAAAATCAAAGTGATGCCATATTTTTCGTGGATGGTCCTGGAGGTTCAGGTAAGACATTTTTATATGGCGCTATATTAGACAAAATCAGATCTACTGGAAATATAGCGCTTGCAGTAGCTACTTCAGGCATTGCAGCACTTTTACTAGATGGAGGTTGTACTGCACATTCCCTTTTTCGGATTCCATTTGAGTTACATGAGGATTCTGTATGTAATATATCACATGGGTCAGATCATGCAATTCTTTTACAGCAAGCAAGCCTCATTATTTGGGATGAGGCTCCTATGGCAAATCGTTTTGCACCAGAAGCTGTTGATCGAACTCTAAGAGATTTAATGAAAGCGATAGATCCAGCTTTAGAAAATCAGCCTTTCGGTGGAAAAGTTATTGTATTTGGGGGCGATTTTCGTCAAATTTTACCAGTAGTACCTAAAGGAAGAAGAGAAGACATTGTTGGCTCCTGTTTATTGCGATCTCCTCTATGGCATCACGTAAAAGTTATAAAATTAACCATTAATATGCGGTTACTACAAGCTGAAAGTGCAGAGGAAACTATTGAACAGCAAAACTTTGCTAATTAGCTTCTAGAAATTGGTGAAGATCGTGCTGAACGTATTGCTGAAAAAGGCAACTGTATTAAACTTCCATCTGATATTTGTCTCCCTTCACAAAGTATAAATGCATTAATAAATTCTGTTTATCCTAATATTTCATTTCATGCTAGTGATCCAAATTATTTGATGGAACGAGGAATTCTTGCTCCAAAAAATACTGATGTTCAAGTTATTAATTCAACAATCATGAATATATACCCGGGTGATGATAACGAATACTTGAGTGCTGATAGTATTGATGAAACTCAACATAATAATCAGGAACATAATTACCCGACTGAATTTCTAAATACTTTAAATGTCAGTGGCTTACCACCACATAAGTTATCATTAAAAATAGGTGGACCGGTTATACTTCTTCGTAATATCAATCCTTCGGAAGGTCTTTGTAACGGAACACGTTTAATTTGCTGTTCATTTGCACGCCATGTGATTGAAGTTCAAATTATTACTGGAACACATGCTGGATCACGTGCATTTCTTCCAAGAATTTCTCTTACACCTTCAAACACATCTTTTCCATTTTCTCTTACTCGCCGTCAATTTCCTTTACAACCTGCCTTTGCTATGACAATAAATAAAGCGCAAGGACAGACCTTAAATAATGTTGGAGTTTATTTGCCTACGCCTGTATTTTCCCATGGTCAACTTTATGTTGCTTGCTCTAGGACGACTTCTAAACGAAATCTTAAGATATTAATCACAGGTCAATATACTGATACTGGATATACTCAGAATATTGTATATCCAGAAGTATTACAATCGTAATACTTTTTTTTTTTTTTCTTATTATTCCTACTCCTACTTTATTATTACTTACGCACTAACTTTTCTTAACGCTCATCTTTACTTTCTTTTTTTTCTAGCCATTCTAACTTATTCTTTTTTTCTAATTTTCATATTTTTTTAACTTTATTAATACTTTTTTTTTTCTTTCACTTACAGTTTTCTCGACTATCCTACCTTTTATGCTTAAATAAGTTCCGTCACATCTATTATATTAAAATCCATTAGTTGAAATAACTACTATCCGAATTATATAAGTCTAGCATCACTACCCTAAAAAAATCCGTCTATTATTAAATCTTCCCGATTAGTTTAAGTTTAGAGTCCCATCAGTAGGGTAATGCTTGCGTTAAAAAGCTTTAATTGTAATAAAATTTCGTAAGGAAAATTTTTATTAGTACACACACGCACTTTCATAAGCAATATTTTAAGCTACGTGTATTTTTTGTTATTTTGCATTTTTTTGCCTTCTTTTGCATTAATTAATTTAATTACTATTCCCAAATGAATTCTGTCATTATAAGAATTTTATTCTAATAAGATACATAAAGGAGCCAAGATGGAGTAACATATAGAAAAGATTCGTTAGACATGTAAAACATTTTCAGGTTTACCTCTGATTTATTAATATGTAATTCGACACCCAAAATTTAAAATTGGAAACCAAATACTCAAATTTAAAGGCATAAATTTCATAAATTCAGCATAATGAAACTCGCTATACTTTTCCAAATTATAAAATAATGCGCACACTTTTAAAGTCAATATAATGCATATAAGTTGCACTATATAAGTATCTCAATAATATTTCTATATATATTTCAAGTCCAATTAATACATCTTTAGTACAAAATATTTACATTCCTGAATACAATTAATTCATCCTTACTACTCAAAATACTTTCACTCTAAAGATCCAAACATTGTGAGACATATTATAACAAACGGCCTCTTGGAAGTTTATTATCTAATTAAGTAAACTTAAAGATTGCACTTAAAGAACTCTACGTTTAAAAAGTTTATTGAAGGTACTTCCAGAATAGTTTATTTTATATTTTTATTACCAAATATACTTTAAATTTATATTATAAAATTAGACCGTCAGCGAAGCGACGGGTCATATACTAGTATATAATAAAATTTTGTAAAAAAATTTTTTTTATTAGAATGTTAAAGGTGATTTCTTAGGCAGAATTTTGAGTTATCAGCTATTTATTAAAAAAGCTTTTGTTTTAATATTATATCAACAGTTATATCTGATCTTGTGATCTATATAAAAATTTTCTTATTTGGTTTATATCACTAATACAAATAAGTATACACCTTCTGTAGTTTACCAACATAGTAGGCTTTCATTATGATTGTCTAATTTTTATAGATCATTCTGTGATATAGTTAATATTTTATTGTTTAATTGAAAGTAATCGAAATTTTAAACTTTAATAAATCATCACAAATAAAAAACTCATGTATACAAAAATAACTATATTTATAATGAAATTAATATTAACAGAAGTCTTTATTATCAATCAAAAAAAATACTCTTTCTGACGATCCTCTGGTCAACAACAACAAAAATCGAACTACAGCAAAACGTATAGAAAAGCGATGAAGTGGATACTAAAACTTGGTCCTATAAATAGGAGCAGCTTGTTGTTGACAAAGTCTAAGCATCTAGATGTGAAATA